GAACATTCAGGACTGGTTTCCTTTAGGATAGACTGATTAGATATCCTTGCAGTCCAAGGGACTCTCAAAGAGTCTTCTCCAACTTTTTTGTTTGACATAGTCTTTTTGATTTTTTGTTTCATATGCTTTAGATTGATTTCCTAAATACCAATACCAAAACCAATGTCCGGAATTTTGTTTTGTCTTTAAACTTTTTATTTCATATTGGTATAGCCAATTAACAATGTTGTGATAGTTTCAGGTGGACAACAAAGGACTCAGCCATATATAGTAAGGAGTTTTCTTCCCCCTCTGTTTTCTTTCAGGAGTTTCATGGGCTTTAGGACTCACATTTAAGTCTTTACTCCTTTCAAGTTAATTTTTTTGTGAATGGTGTAAGTTAGAAGTCATTTCACTCTTCAACATGTGACTATTTCCAACATCAAGACTCTCTTTTCTCCAGTGAGTATTCTTGACCCCCTTGTCAATTATTAGTTTACTATATATGCTTAGGTTTATTTCTGATCTCTCAACTATGTTCCATTGGCCTGTTTTTTTAATGCCGATACCATACTATTTTGATGACTAAAGCTTCATAGTATAGCTTAAAATCAAGAAGTTTAATGCCTTATGCTTTGTTCTTTCTCAGGATTCATTTGACTAATTGGGTCTTTTTGGTTTCATATAAATTGTAGGGCAGTTTTTCTATTTCTGTCAAAAAAAATGTCATTGGACTCTTAATAGAGATTGCATCTATAGATGGCTTTTAGTAGTATTGACATTTTAATAATATTAATTATTCTAGAGATTTTCCTGGTGGTCCAGTGGTTAAGAATCTGCCATCTAGTGCAAGGGACATGGGTTCCATCCCTGCTGGGGATCTAAGTTCCCATAGGCCGCAGGGAAACTAAGCCCACATGCACTACAACTATTGAGCTCACACATTCTAGAGCCTGTGCACCACAACTACTGAAGCCCGCTCACTCTAGAGCCCATGTGTACACTGCAACCCGTGAAGCTAGCATGATGCAACTAGAGAGAAGCCCCCATGTACTGCAAGGGAGAACCAGCATGCTTCAATGGACACCCAGCACAACCAAAATAAAAATATATTTTTTTAAAAGACTCTTTTTTTAAAAGAGATGAGAAATTCCTCTTTTTTTACTTCTAGATTAGTTTATTATAAAAAGATCTAACTCAGGAACAGCCAGATGAAAGAGACACACAGGGCAAAGGTACAGGGAAAGATTGAGTAGCTTTGCTAAATCTCCATGTGTTCCTCAACCCAGAAGCTCTCTGAACCCTGGCCTTCCGGGTTTTTATGGAGGCTTTATTACCTAGATATGATTGTTTAAGTCACTGGTCATTGGCTATTTTGTTTTACTTTTTAATTGGAGTATAACCACTCATCTGAATGCAATTTACAAGTAGTACTGTAAGAAACATGGCATCTGGTCCCATTACTTCATGGCAAATAGATGGGAAACAGCGAAGGGCTTCATTTTCTTGGATTCCAAAATCACTGCAGATGGTGACTGCAGCCATGAAATTAAAAGACACTTGCTCCTTAGAAGAAAAGATATGACAAACCTAGAGACATCACTTTGCTGACAAAGGTTAGTATTCCAGTAGTCATGTACAGATGTGAGAACTGGACCATAAGGAAGGCTGAGCACCAAAGAATTGATACTTTCCAACTGCAGTGCTGGAGAAGACTGTTGAGAGTCCCATGGATAGCAAGGAGATCAAACTGGTCAATCCCAAAGCAAATCAACCCTGACTATTCATTGGAAGGACTGATGCTGAAGCTCCAATACTTTGGCCACCTGATGCAAAGCACCAACTCATTGGAAAAGACCCTGATGCTGGGAAACATTGAAGGCAAGAGGAGAAAGGGACAACAGAGGATAAAATGGTTGGATGGCATCATCAACTCAATGGACATGAGTTTGAGCAAACTCTGGGAGATACAGAAGGCCAGGGAAGCCTGGCATGCTGCAGTCTGTGGAGTTGCCAAGAGTTGGACACAACTTAGTGACTGGACAACAACCGTAAGAAACACATTTATTACAAATATTTTAAACACTCATTCCTTGCATTACATTTGTGTACAAGTCTTATTAAACACTTCAGTATATGTGTTACAAAATGAGTACATTCATTCACTGAAAGAACACTGCTGAACACAGCTTGCAAATGGCTTGTAAGAACTCTCTTACTACAAATCATGTGTCAAAAATACTATATCAATGTGTAATAAATGTAAAAAATCATTGAGTCAAAAAAAAGAACTCTCTTACTACAAATCATTACAGACAACAATAATAAAAGAAAAATAAGAGAATACAACACTATGGACAACCCTACATACATACATTCAATAGGTTAGATAAAATGGACTGATTTCTTTAAACTCAAAAACTATCAAAATTTACCCAAGGTAAGTAGATAAACCTGAATAGTCTGTATCTATTAAAGAAACTGAATTCATAGGTTAAAATCTTTCAAAAAAGAACTTTCCAGGCCAGAAGTTTCCACTGGTGAACTCTATTAAACATTTAAAGAAAAAATAATAATTCTACATATATTCCAAAAAATAAAAGAGGAGGGAATGCTTCCCAAAAAAGTTTATAAAGTCAATAGTAATGATACCAAAACCAGACAAAGGCAGTATAAGAAAACTAGAGACCAATATCCTTCATTAACACAGACACAAAAATCCTCAATAACATACTAGCAAGTTAAACCCAGGAGTATACAAAAAAGAATAACACACCAAGACTGTGTATTGGTGGGATACACAATGGGATTTACCCCTGGAATGCAAAGCTGGCTCAATATTCCAAAAATCAACTAATGTTAACCACTAAAGACAAAAATAATCATGATCAGATAACTTGATGCAGAAAAGTGAAGGTGAAAGTCACTCAGTGTGTCCGACTCTTTGCGACCCCATGGGTTTAGTTCATGGAATTCTCCAGGCCAGAATACTGGAGTGGGTATCCTTTCCCTTCTCCAGGGGATCTTCCCAACCCAGGGATCAAACCCAGGTCTTCCACATTGCAGGCGGGTTCCTTACCAGCTGAGCCACAAGGGAAGCCCAAGAATACTGGAGTGGGTAGCCTATCTGTTCTCCAGCGGATCTTTCTGACCCAGGATTTGAACCAGGGCCTCCTGCATCACAGACAGATTCTTTACCAACTGAGCTATGAGGGCATGATGCAGAAAAAGTATCTGGCAAAACCTTACAACCACTCATTATAAAAACTGTCAGAAAACTAATCATAAAAGTGAGTTTCCTTAATTTTATAAAAGGCACTTAGAAAAGCTCTGCATTTAACATTTTACTTAATAGTGAAACACTGAAACCAAAAGTTGGGAACAAAGCAAAGATGCCCACTCTCGCTATGCCTAAGCAACATAGAACTGGAAATTCAAGTCAGTGCAATAAGGCAAGAAAAAGAAGAAAGGCAACCAGATTCTGAAAGGAGAAATGAAATTCTTTCTGTTCACAGATGACAAGATTATTTATGTAGATAACAGAAGGGAATCTACCAAAAATCTTTTAAAATTTAAAGTGAGTGTTGTAAAGTTTCAAGATGAACATATGAAAATCAATTGATTTCTATGTGTTAGCAATAAACAACTGGAAACTGAAACAAACAAAATTCTATAACAGCTTCAAGATAATGAAACATGTATAAATCCAGCAAAACAGGTACTGGTTTTATATGTTGAAAATCTATTTATTTCACTCATGAAAGAAATCAAAGAAGGCCAAAGAACTTTCCTCAAATTGTTTTATAGGTTTAAGGCAATTCCAACTGAAATTCCAAAATAGTATTTTATAGACAAATTGATTCTAAAATGTCTTTGGAAAGTCAAAGGCAATAAAATAGCCAAAACAAATTTTAAAAGAACAAAATGAGAGGACTCACACTATCTGATATTAAGCATTACTCTAAAATTCAAGTTAATCGAGTTTACACAGTATTTTTAAAGGAAAAGACATTAGAGATAAATGGAACAGAATAGAGTCCAGAAACGGCACCACATAGATAGCTAGCTGACTTTTTACAAAGGTTCAAAGGCAATTCAGTAGAGAAAGGATGGTGTTTTCAAACAATAGTGCCAGAAAATTTGGGCATCCATAAGCAAATAAATGAATTCAACCTAAACCTCCCACTTCAAACAAAAATTAACTTAAAATGAATTCTAGATATAAACTGTACAACTATAGAAGAAAACAGAGAAAATGTTTATAACTTGGAGTCACCTGAGGTTAGAGGCATGATTCAAAAGGGAAAAAAAAATGAGAAAAAAAATGGTAAACTAGACCATCAAAAATTAATATATTGGCTTTGAAAAATTACACTAAAAAAAAACACTGATAAGAGAATAAAAAGATAACCTACACACTGGGAGAAAATATTTATTAATCACATAACTAACAAAGGACTTATATAAAATACATAAAGAATTTTCAAAATTCAATAATAAGAAAACTAACCATTTTTTTTAAATAGGCAAAAAATTTGAATAGATACTACACCAGAGAGAATATACAGATGTAAATAAGCCAGTGAAAAGATGGTTAACATCGTAAGATATTTGAAGAATGTAAATTAAAGCCACAGTGAGTGGGACTTCCCTGGTGGTCCAGTGGCTAACACTCTGCCTTGCAGTGCAGGAAACATGGATTTGATCCCTGGTCAGGGAACTAAGATCCCATATACCATGGGGCTACTAAGCCTGTTCATTGCAACTACTGAGCCCCTGCACCACAATGAAGATCCTGCATGATGCAACAAAGGATCCCGCGTGCTATAACTAAGACCTGATGCAGCCAGAAACCCATCCCTGCTATACACCTACTAGGGTGGTTAAAGACTCAAAATACTAAGTGCTGGCAAGGATACAGGCTATCTGGCATCCGGTACATGTTTAACCTACATGTGTGGCTCTCCTCACTAGTGATGTAAGTGTAACCTGGAAGGGTTAATTTTGACTCCATACTGCATCTACTCCTGTGACTTTATCATTTTGCCACTTTTGTTACTGTAGGCAAACATAATGGCCTGCCTCAGGGAGCCCTGCCTGTCCCCCACCCCACAGCCTGACACTTGGGCCTTTGTTTGGCTCACAGGGAGATAGCCTGACTCTGCCCACCTGTGAAGGACTGTGACACTTGAGTTCTTCATGTGGGAAATGGCATCCCTCGTCTGCTGCTTACGGGCATGGCTCAGAAATTCACATTTTGGGGGCCGAAATTGCAGATAGCTGGGGCATCTCTGTTTACTGATACGACAGGAAATATTCCATTTCACCCTACCCGTGAAATTAATGTAAGGATGTGAAACTAACACACCCCCCTGCCTGAGGCTTGCCATTTTAGGAGGTATTTGCAATAATTGAATGGTCTTTTTACTTTGTTTCCTTGCTTCCCCCACCCCCGACCCGTCTCTGATCCATAAAAGAACCTGGCATCCAGGCCCCTACAAGATGGTTATTTCCAGACTTTAGTCTGCCATCTCCTCATCAGCTGGCTCTCCAAATAAAGTATTCCTTGCCTCAACACCTCTCTCCGATTTACTGGCCTATCATGCGGCAAGTAGAGTGAGCTTGGACTTGGTAACAAGCACTATGGAAAACAATTCTACACACTCCTACAAAGTTAAACATACACTTACTGTATAACCTTGTAAATCCTATGTCTCACCCAAGAGAGATGAAAAGCTCTGTTCACATAAAACCTCTATAGGAAGTCTATTCATAATCACCTAAACCTGGAAACAACTCAAATGTTCAACAGGTAAATGGGTTAACTGTGGACTATCTATGGCAATGGAATGTTATGCAACAAGAAAGAGAAATAGCAGCAATCTAGATGAATCTCAAAGACATATTGAGTGAGACAGGCTAGCCACAAAAGGTTATATACAGTCAGGATCCATTTATACGACCTTTTGGAGAAGGCAAAACTATAGGGACACAGAAAAACAAGGTGAGCAGGGACACATATGACCACAATGGGACAGAATAAGGGGATGTCTTGATTTTGGCTGAGGTGAAGGGATCTAAATATGTGTTAAAATCTATACTGAAAGAGTCCATTTTCCTGAATGTTAATTTTAAAAATTAATTTTATGGGGTGATTGGCCAGGGAAGTCCTCGTTCAATAAAGTTCTGAATTGCAAGACTAATTCCAGGTGGATAGTGCAGCAAGGGAAAAGGCCCTGAGGCAAGCAGCATGCCTGGGGATTTGAGAAACAGAGGACAACACATGGCCAGCACCCCAGTGAGAGGATGAAACACCCCCTGGCCTTGTGGGTGTCTGGGACAGTTCAAATGGGAAAGCAACGAGTGTGGGAATGCACCTGGCTCCTCACAGGACAGTGGAACTTGAGAGAGGGGTGGTGCAGGAGATAAGGACAGTGGGGGTGCATGGACACTACTAGAGCCCAGCGGCCACTGTAAGGACTTTGGCTTTACTGAGGGGTGGGGAAAAGTTGGAGGCCTTTGCTCTAGAAGTAAAAGACACCATGTAACCTGTTTTTAAGACTTCTGAGGACAGACCTTAAAGGAAAAAGGGTGGAAACAGGAAGCCTGGGAGCCTGGTTGGGAGATGTGAGTTTAACTCAGGCAGAAGGCAATGGCTCTGCATTGAAAGTTCTCTTCCTCCCACTTTGCTACCCCTGGGCCCTTTCTCCAGGTGCCCTAGCACACCCTTTAGTGCCCCAGACCAAACAAAGACTCCTAACAGGCAAGAAAACTGCCTCTACTCCTCAGGTCACAGACCTGGAGGGTAGAAGCTGAATCATGCATTGTGCAAAGCACTTGCCATCCAGGCTCTGTAAGAACCCCAGAAACAAAGCCCCATTCAGGTCCCCACTCTATAGGGGAAAAGCCTGAGGCCTCTGGCCCAGGGTCACTCAGCTATGATGCCATTGTTAAAAAAATTAATAAACAGAAACTTCAGTTAAATAGAGCTGGGAGGTCAGAAGGGGGAGCTCTCACACTCTACAATAGCAGACTGTTGAAGACTGTTGGGAAGAAGATTCTTCTCAATCCTGACAACTCAGCCAATTAAAAGCCCTGCCAACTTCCTTTCTCCTGCCTCCTTCCCTTGTCACATGTGGACTTGCCTGCAGCTCACTGTGGTTGCAGACCCTGAATTGCAATTCTCTGCTGATCTCATATAAACCCAATTTTGCTGGAGAAGTAACTGACAGTCTGTTTTAGGTCAACATTTTGGTGGCTTTTACTGGGATCTAAAGACCTCTGATGGGCTGGTAAGTAAACGGGTGATGTGCCTACCTGAGCCCATTACTGATGATTTTCTCATTGACCTTGGAATTTGAAGGTACTTCTTTCTCCTATATCTGAGCCTCCACCCTCTTTGCATTTTGAAGCTCTCCAAGCTTTACCTGGGATCTGTTTCAAGATTTATCCTTTCTGGTTAAGGCCTTGTTCTGTACTTGAGTACTCGTTTGGAACTTCAGTCTGGTTTTGAAGTCAGACTGTTCCAACTGGAACTGGCTAGGCTTCAGCCCATTCCTTTGAGCACAGAGGCTATTTCATTGGGATTGTGCCAGTTCAGCCTTCAGGCCATTCCTTTGGAATAGACAGAGGTTGTTCTATTGGAACTCTTCTGGGAAGCCTTCGGCCTGGCTCCACTAGGACCAACCTGTTCCTTTAGAACTGGCTGGGTATTCGGTCTGCAGGCTGTTAGAGACATCTGAACTGTTCAGGCAGACTGTTTAAGCTATAAGCTGCTTGAGCTGTTGAGGCTTTTAAAAAATTCTTCTCTTACTCTAGGAAAAAATTTCTGAGAAATGGGATTCCAGTTATCTAAATATTTTGAGGGCACCCTTCTATAAGGACTCTGGCTGATTTTGTGCTTAAAAATTGTAACCCTTCCTCATGAGAATTTCTAGCTAGACCGACCAACCTAAGGCAATCTAGAACATCATATGGCCATTATGGGGAACTTTAGAAATCCCCAAACTTACTTTTCTTAAAACTGAATGGGACTATCAGAGCCCTAAAATTTCCAAAACTGAATGGAATGCCTATTTTGATTGGTATTTTGAGGCTTCCAAACATTATCAGCAGCCTAAAATTGATCTAATGTAAGACTGAGGCAAACAAATGATCAAAAAGACAGAGTGGCTCCCCAAGCCTCAGGCTATGCCTCCAGGGCCATCTTGTCTCTCCTCCCTCAGCTGCTTGTGCTCAGGTCCCATCTCCAATGCCATCTTCCTGCTTCTCTCTTAGACCACCTGCACCTGCTCCTGACCCTCAGTCCCCCAGTACGGATTCTCCCACTGAACTTCCCCTTGTCTCTAAAACTCTTCCCATTCCCTTTTCCTTTGAACTTTTCAGAACCTGTCCCTTTATTTTTTTTTCCATTTTTTTTATTAGTTGGAGGCTAATTACTTTACAATGTTGTAGTGGGTTTTGTCATACATTGACATGAATCGTCCATGGTTTTACATGTATTCCCCATCCCAATCCCCCCTCCCACCTCCCTCTCTACCCGCTCCCTCTGGGTCTTCCCAGTGCACCAGGCCCGAGCACTTGTCTCATGCATCCAACCTGGGCTGGTGATCTGTTTCACCCTAGATAATATACATGTTTTGAAGCTAGAGCCTGTCCCTTTAAAATTAAGCCTCCTGAGGATCCAGAGGATAAACGCTCTGTTTTATATATTGCCTGGACTAAAGCTGAACTCTGAGACATAGTCAAAGATTTTTTCTCAAGTAATTGGAGAGCCTCACAGATTTGCTGAGGAATTTAATACAGTCCTTCAAACTCAGCAACTTGTTTTCTTTGACTGAATCAGCTAGTTCATAGCTTGTCATGAAGGCTAGGCCCAGCATTGGATGAAAACTGCCACTTGGGAATATCCTAAAAGGCCTTTAGAATTACAACTGGGAGCCCACCCTCCTAACTTCTATGATCAGGCTCAGGCAATCGCTAAGTGGTTTCATGGGGCAATTCCTACAGCTCTTCCAAAGCCTGCTGATTGGAATAAAATGCAGGCTTATACACAATAACCTAATGAATGTGTTCATGACTATTCCAATTGACTTCAGATTGTTTTTAAAGAAAATTCTGATCTTCCTTCAGATGTTAATCCTACACAAGCAGCTTTTAACTCCATGTTTATTAGTGGACTGAAGCAGGACCATTCCCTTTCAGCAAAAAGGACAAAGATGGAAGGGGAAATGTTCATTCCAGATTTAATTAATCTGGTAAACCAGCTCTCTCACACTGTAGAAGAGTCACCTAAAATGGAGACAGCTAAAATCCTTTATCTTCAACTCCAGCAAATGAAGCCTCCTAAATGAAACAAAGCCTCCTAGTTTCTGCTATTATTGCAAAGATCCAGGACTTTGGGAAAGAGATTGTTACAAATTTAAGTGCTTCAGGCACCTTCAGTCTTTTAATCAGCCTTTTCAAGTGAAGTGAAGTGAAGTGAAGTCGCTCAGTCGCTCAGTCATGTCCAACTCTCTGCAACCCCATGGATGTAGCCTACCAGGCTCCTCCGTCCATGGGATTCTCCAGGCAACAATACTGGAGTGGGTTGCCATTTCCAGGGGATATTCCCAATCCAGGGATTGAATCCCGGTCTCCCGCGTTGGAGGCAGACGATTTAACCTCTGAGCCACCAGGGAAGCCTTTTCAATATCCTCCCAATTCTCAATGATTGGATCCAAAGAACTCTAGAGGCTCTTCCCAATCCTTCCTCTTAACTGGTTTAGAGAAATATTTCTCCAGATTGGGGTCAATCTCTTCCAGTTCTGGCACTGGAGCCACCCTCTCATTGATCAGCCCCACTACCATAAAAGCAGCCCTTGCCTTAGAGTAAACAATTCAAATAGCAGGGATCTCTAAGGAATCTATTCCATGTTGTTTTAGGCCCTTTGAGAAACACACTCTTTTCTCCTTAGTTCTTCCCCCTCTATCCATTTATTAGGGCAAGACTTTTAAAAGAAGTATCATGCCAGAATTTCTTTCTCCCTAAAGGGGGAAATGATTTCAGAATTTGGCAGTACTCATCAAAGTAATCAACAAGGTGAATTAAATGACTCTTCAATATCTCTGCTCCATCTCTGATGATACTAGAGCTGATTCTATAAACACAGATTATCTTCCCCTATTGAATCAGCTACCATCCTCCTTATAGGCAAAATCTCCAGCTGATATTGGCAAAATTCACAGATGTCCCCCATCAAGATTCAAACAAATCTCTCAAAACCTCTTCCCAGAATCACCACCATATATGTAAAGAAGCTATTCCAGGCATAAAGGCCATAACAGAAGATACAAAGCTTAAGACCTCATTATCCCTTGTATTAGCTCCTATAACACTCCCATTTTACAG